AACAAAACTGTTGTCGTAAAAAGAGGACTCCATTTTCTTCTAATTGCATGAAATAAACTTCCAAAAAGAACATACCCCAACATGACAACTCATTGGAAATGGAAGGAAGTGTAAAAGTACTCTCTTCTTTTGTTATATTTTGATCAATACTTTGTGTGCAACTTTTTTTCTACCTTTGTTTATAGAAGCCCTATTTTTCTTCATTTTCCAGACCCCTTATGCCCTTCATATTGTTCACTAAGTATTCTTAAGAACAACAACAAGCTTTGATAAATTAGAAGTAATCATTACTACTACACTAAATAGAGTGGAAAAACATGCACAAGATATGGATGCGGCTCAACCACAATTTTCTGTCAAATCTATACCACATAACCGGTTTGATCCAGTAGGAATTTAAACTAGTTGCAGGTATTGATGCACTAGAGAATGGAATGAATGCAGCTCAGTAAAGGTCATAAAAAAGGCACGGAACACTAATATCATAGAAGTTCAGGATCTGGGTGGAGGAAATATGTATGGACTAGGATACACTTTGAGAAGTGCATGTAGTTACTTCAAGTAATTAAGAAGATGAAGCAGCCTCACTTAAATGCATCAGAATCTCCGCAATGAAGATTTCTTAATCTCCATTGCATTGGTGTTGCCTTTTTGAAGGTGCACACGAACTGAGTCCCAATAAAATTTGTAGATCTTTCAATTCTTGGAAATGGGTAGTAAGGATAATGGTGATATGAGGCTACAACACAGAAATGATGGTGATACTTCCTTAATTGCCCTACTTCAATGCCCAATGTTGACCCTTTTAGTGATTCTGGTTGAGATCCACTTCTGTCATTGAATCAAAAGTAGAGTTTTATAGGATCTTCAGTTGTCTATTGTCTGCTAGTTTATTGAAATGCAGAAATAGTACCCATATACAAGCTATTGCTGACAGCTCATACTACAATTTATATGTGTCTCTTGGTCGACTCTGCAGACATTCATAGATACAGGAAAGAGAAGACTTCAATTTAGAGGGTGAATGCTCATTCTCATTACATATGCATATTGATTGATAGAAAATGTAATTGTAAAAAAGGTGGATTTTAGTAATGTAGTTGTAAGAAGCACTGATTGTTCATAGCATTTTGAGATGCTCTGCGCTTCGTGGTTTTACATTTTACTGTGTTGTAGCAACTTATCAGTCTTAAATCTTGTTTTCTTACTCAACTAATATGAACCTTTTTTAACAAATCAGATAAAAGGCCTGAAGTTTGAAGAATCTTCCATAAAGATAGTTCCGAGCAAGTTGAAGCAGCTAGAATTGTTGAAGAACAAGGAAAATTTATTATATTTTATTAGGAGTTGTAGTCGTCATTCGTACAAACTACTATTTTACTTTCTCTTTAATTTTGTTGTTTTATTTAAGGAATTGAAAACATGGATCATGCAATTTAGATGTAATATTAGTGCTACTTTGATTAGTTGTCTATCTATAATTAAAAAAGATATTTTATGTCAATATTAAATTCATTCTTTGTATGATTTCGAATGCATGTAATATATTTATTACTTAAAAGTTCACATTCACAAAGGAAAATTTTGGTTTTTAAAAAGTATGTCATTAAAAGTACATACAATTAGCCAATGGAATTCCGGTCGCCATACACTAACAACTACTGAAAATTAGTTACCGTTAGTGAAGGTTTTAACGACTGGGACGACATATAATGACCGGAAAATCCCCTCGCTAATCTTGCTATAACGGCTAGATTCCTTGCCATCATTAAAAGAGTTTTTACGACGGGATCAAAATCCGGTTGTTTATCTTTAACGATGGAGGCACTAATTACCTGCGACGACCGGTTTTTATCCCATCGTAATTGACTGATAACGATTGGATTTGGAGTTTTAACGACCGAATTTTCCATTGCTAAAGACCTATTTTCCTGTAGTGTGGCACATACAGTCCCTTAAGCTAAAGTTTGCTCACATTGGTTGCTATAGGGAAGCATCTTCCTGAATGATCATTCTCTGAATTTCTCATGAATCTTCTTTTGTCGTCCATTCTAGTATTAGCGAAACAAAATATGAAGTTCTTATGATGGCGACTATCACCAGTCACTTAGTCCCTAATTCATGTTTAGTTTATCTTGTTCACCAATCCATACTGGTTCTATTACTCTGGGATCTAACTTTTCCTCTTGTTAATCACACTAGAGTTGCGAATTTATTTCTTGGAATGAGGACATGATTGTATGGCCTATACTCTTTTATTGTCCTAAGGCCTATCACTTCTCGTTTCTTCCTTCACTTGACCATAGATTTTGTAATATTGTCATCTTTTGATATACCGTTGTCATCCATGTATCACATCTTACTCGTAATGCTTTATTAACTCTTTTCTTATTTCCCTCTAATATTTATGCCGATCACTTTATTCTGAAAACTTGAACAAGACATTCTTTTGCTCTTAGCTTCCCTTTGCTCTATCTAATGGCTCTTCAAGTTGCTTAACGTTCTCGCTTTACTAGGGACGCGAGCTACACTAAGGTAATATTTATCCCTTCAAGGCTTATAGTGCATGTCTTTGTAGTACTCATATCTGGCTGCACTTTTTCAGAGTGCACCATTTGATGTCTCATAAAGAGATCTATTAGCATATTTGCAATATCCTTTGGAAGTGTCAATTGACGCAAACAATTCATCCATCATATCTTCTTATACTACTTCTGTTAATACCCATAGGGCATATCTGGAACGGGTGCAACCAATTGTATATACCTCTATTACTGTTGAATATAACTCGAAAATCTTATATTCTTCTGCCTCATTATAAATGTTGTTAACCTTCATTTACTAGGCGCCTCGTACCCTTTTTTATCTTGCTTCATTTACTTGTTGAAACTTGTATTTATCTTCTTAATCTCTCGTTATCTTTCACTATAAAGATGGATAGGCATTCTTGCCTTATGGCTTCTTGTCAGGAAGCTTATACCTTTCAGTATACCCATGATCTGCTAAAGACCTCACATTTACTTATCATAGGCATTATACAAAAATTCAATTCCTCTGACTCAGCTCTTCAACAACTATCTCTCTTTCCAGCCTTCTTTTTGGATGTAGGTATCGTTTTATTATGAATAAAATAGAATTTCGGAATTTGAATTCTTATAAGTGAGCTCTACCACACGATCTAGAGTAGAAGAAAGAGTGATAATCCTAAATTCCCTGTGGCCTCTTGCTTATAAGTGTGGTGAATGACACACCCATAAATAAGACTCTACTAGATATATCTTGTAGACTCCCAAGGACAGAACTGCTCTAATACCACTTTTGTTACAACCCAAACCGATGGGCCGCGACGGGCACCTGGTACCTTACTCAACCGAGCACCAACATAACATATTTTTATTATTACATCATCATATACACGTGACATACGAGCCTAATAGGCCAACATAATCATTTATAAACTCAAAACATAGGCCGACAAGGCCATACAATCTTTCGTGTATACGACATATGTCTACAAGCCTCTAAGAGTACATAAATATCATAAAGGTCGGGATAAAGTCCCGTCATACCAAACAATACCCGTCTAAATCATACTAACCAAACAAGTAACTCTGAAGCAAATGGAGCGCACCAACATCTTCCGTAGAGCTGATAACCTACTTGGAGGGCTCTCGACCTGTCTATCGGGACCTGCAGGCATGAAATGCAGCATCCCCAAGCAAAAGGGACGTCAGTACAAAAAATGTACTGAGTATGTAAGGCGCATAAATTAGTACATAACAAACATGAAAGAAATATAGAGTAATTGACTTAACCTGT